AAGAAAAAAGTAATAAGAAATAAAAAATAGTAATAAAAGCAACATACGGCGGATTAGACGAAGAGGAAAGAAAGAAAGAAAAAAACCCACATAATTTATAGAAAAGAAAAAAACAAAAAACAGACACAACAAAAAACGAACGACTTTTCTCTCTCTCTCTCTCTCTCTCTCTCTCTCTCTCTCTCTCTCTCTCTCTCTCTCTCTCTCTCTCTCTCTCTCTCTCTCTCACACACGCACATATTTTGCAACAATTACATACACGTGTGAAAATATTCAGATATTTACGCTGTATGTGTTCCGGGAAGAAACCTGCGTGAAATTCATTATATAAAAAAAAAAAAACGAACACGAGGCGAAAACATTAACTTATGAAACCTACGGAATATTTTCGGATGTAACGTTCAGAATTCTTAGTGGAAATCGGACTGAAATTTCTGATAATGAAATGTCTAATCGCGTCTGTCTTAAGTAAGCTGATCATTAATCCATTGCATTTTATATCTCGTGTCCAGTGCAATGTTCCTCGTGTGTTTTCTGTTTCTGGTTTTCTTTATTATTTTGTTAGTTTGACACTTTTTTATTGCCTTTCTTTATCATTTTATTGCCTTTTTAATTATATTTTTTTTTCCCTTAATTTCTTCTTTATTACATTTTTCTTTATCGATTGTTCTTATGTTTTCTGTTTATGGTTTCCTTTATCATTTTATCAGTTTGTCACTTTTTGTTTTTTTTTAGTTACATATCTCTTTATTATCATGTTTCTTTACTGTTTCTTTATTGTATCTTTTTTATCTATTGTTCTTGTATTTTCTGTTTATGGTTTTCTTTATCATTTTATCAGTTTGTCACATTTTTGTTGTTGTTTTTTTTAAATTACATTTCTCTTTATTATCATTTTTCTTTATTGTTTCTTTATTGCATTTTTCTTTATTTATTGTTCTTGTATTTTCTGTTTATGGTTTTCTTTGCCACTGCATTTTTTTTCTTTATTTTGATTTCTTTTTAGTGCATTTCCTTTGGTCTATTGTTCGTGTGTTTTCTATGTATGCTTTCATTTATTATTCTACCAGTATATCACTCTTGCTTTTTTTTTTACTTCCATTTTCCTTTATTATTCACCTCCTTTATCTTATTCTTCTTCCTCTCTTCTCATTTATTTCATTTTTCTCCCTCTCTTCCCCACCACCAAAGAATCAATAAAGAACGAACCCAGAACGATGGACTAACAATATATAATTCAACGTATCTTTACAATCTCTCTTTTCACTGTAATTTCCTTAAATCTGTTTTAATTCCATCTTTCTCTTTTCTCTCAATTATCCGATTTTCTCACTGTTTCCGACATTCGCATCTCTCTTTACACTCCATACTCCTCTATCATCTATTTCACCTATCTTCTTCTACTTTCTCTATTCTCTCCATTATCATCTAATTCACCTATCTCCATCTCCTCTTCCTCCATCATTATCTATCTCCCTTCTCTCTCTCCTTTCCCTCCTCCCTCCATCATCATCTATTTAATCCATCTCCTCTCCCCCACCTCCCTCCACCACCACCATCACTCACACCCCCTCCCCCTCTCCTCCTCCCCCTCTCCCCCCCCACCATCACTCTCCCCCCACCCCCCTCCCCTGTCTCTCCCCTCCCCCACCTCCCTCTAACCACCACCAACCACCAATCTCACCCCCCCCCCACCTCCAACCACCAATATCACCTCCTTCCCTCCCCCCCTCACCAACCACCAATCTAACCACACACACCCCCGTCTCATCTTCTTCTCCCCCCCCCTCCCCTCTCCCCCCGAAGGAACAAGTGAGGAAGTACCCCGAGCGGCGGACCGTCGGCCTCGCCTTCAAGACGACGGATCAGCTGTTCCGACGGGGCTACATCGAAGTCACGTGCGTCAGTTCCCTCGGCGGCGGACACCAGAGGAGAGCGAAGGTGCAGCTGGCCAACCACGCCTATCTGAGAGCACAGGAATATCATTATAATTCAGGTCCGCGAGGTTGTGGATTGGATATTTTTTAAAGTTTTTAGTTTACTTTAGTTTGGGGTTGCTTTTCCGTTTTCTTTGTTTGTTTGTTATTGTTTGTTTTTTGTTTTAGTTTGATTTTACTTTTTTTTTATAGGTGATTAAGAAAGTAGGGTTGAGATAAAAAAAGGAGGAAGAAGATCTAGAGACAGAGGTATGTGTGCATATATATATATATATATATATATATATATATATATATATATATATATATATGTATATATATATATATATATATATTTATATATATATATATATATATATATATATATATATATATATATATATATATATATATGTATGTATGTATGTATGTATACATATATACACTCACGCACACGCACACACACACACACACACACACACACATATACATATATATACGCACAAATGCTCCTATCTCTATCTTCTCTCTCTCTCTCTCTCTCTTCCACTCTTTCTCCCACTCTTTCTCTACCCTGTCTATAT